TAACATTTGGCAGGAAAAAAAAAAAAAAAAAAAAGTAAAGAAAAGAAAAAGAAAAGTTTGGATTGCTTTTTTTTTTTTTCTTTTGCCACATTTTCCCACCTTCCACTTGGGAGTTGTTCATTCAAAAAAACATTTACTGCACAGCTAGTCCAGGTCCTGCTCTAAAAGCTAGAAACAAATCAGTGAACAAAACAAATAAAAAGGAAGGAAGAAGGCGTGCATTGTCCCCTGAGAACAAGAGACATAAAAAAAGAGTGGCCCAATGACTTTTATGTGCTTTCTCTATACAGAGATTATCAAAACAAAGTTTTATTCCATCAGGGTAGGGATTTTCGGTTTTTGGAGAGGTATGGTCAAGAAACTTCCAGAATATATCTCATTTTTTCCAGTTGAGGGACTGAATATTCTCCCCAGTTTGAGGCTTCAGGAGTGAAAATGTAATGAAATACTGCCTGTTGCTATGCTTGCTGTAGTTGTTTTAATTGAATGCTACAAAATCAGGAAGTTTGCAGGGGTGATAAAACTGTCTAATCTACCCATATTAGGATGAGTAGATTTCATACCTAGTGGGAACGCTTGTTGGGAAATTTCTTCTTCATGTTTCAGGGGACAGAATTTTTTGTATGTTTCATTCATGAAATACCTACTGTGCGCATCCTACATGCCAGGTGCTGTGCAAAGTGCTGAGATACAGAGATGAGTCAGACATGGAGACAGGCAAACAAAACTGTGCCAAAGAGAAATATAGGAGTTATGATGCAACCACACACAGGGTACAGTGGGTCACACAATGGAGAAAGTGATGAGTCAGGGGTTTGGGAAAGGCTTCCTGGAGGAAATGGCTCCTGAGCTATCTTCAAGAGTGTCAAGGAGACAGGGAAGAATGAAGGAAAGGGCAGAGGCAGGGCTGCTATTCAGCTGATGTACCACTCAGAGAGCCATTTGGTATTAAAAATATTATCAATGGGCAAACTGTCATTGTCTCAAAGTCCATACATTTCTTCCAACCTTGCCTCTCCTTCTTTGTCCCAGACACCCTCACAGTCCGAAATCTAAAGGGTTAACGTCTTGCAGATCAGGAGCATTCCAGGACCTAGCCAAAGACAGCCCTGCAAGCAGGGCAGTGTCTGTTCTAATTGGCATGCTCCTGTCACACAGGTTATCAGAGATGTCGAACATAACCCCCAGAAGGGAGGAGCCTATCAGGAAGAAGACACATCGTGAGTGAAGTGTGATATGTTCGGAGAACTGCCAGCTGTGTAGGATGGCTG